ACTTGGTGTAGACAGCAGGCAGACACTTTCAAAAGAGTGTTAGAGAAAATAATGGAAAAACACGAAGCCAAGAAAGGGGAGAAAAACAATAAGCATTTTTATGAAAGAACAGCATCTTAAAAAGCTGGGGGTGGGTGAGTTGTATGATAGCCTGTGCATCAGAGTAGCCCTGTTAGATGTCTCATTGCAGTGAGTATGTTAGCAGGAGATAATAAGGAGCTGAAGTCTCCTCCAGCCAATCAGCCTGAAATTTATTATATATTTAGCCATTCCTCAGTGATGAAGAGTTCTGGGCAGGCATTCTCAGAGAGTTACTGCCTTCTCTACAGCCCTTACATCACCATCCAAACTCTGCAGTCATCATTTAGAAATGTATACCTCACAGCTAACTACTGTTTCAGTAGAGCAAACACTACACTATTTCTTACCATGAAGACAGCTTGTCATGATATGCAGCTTTTAAAAGTCTTGTGAGATCCTGTGTATCTGATAATGCACTGTTGGCAGCTTGTCAAAGAGAGAACTGCAAAAGCAATCATGTTGTTTTGAAGGAGAGACAACAATTAAAGTTTGGTTTCTGTGGCTTGGTGAAGAACTGACAGAGAAGAGAAAAAATACGAGGCCAAGTACATAGCTGATATTAAATTACCAGAACTTCATTTACTTATCCTCCAAACAACCACTTGAGATCTCTTACTTACTGAAACAGTTAAAAATAAAACCTCTAAGAGCATTTAAAGCTGGCCACAGGCATTTCATGGAAGTTGGTGTTTCCCAGCTCCCCATAAGCCATTAGGGCTTCCCTCCTACACCTTGACACGCTTCAGTTAGAAACAGCTGAAGGCACTAAGCTTTTAAACAAGAAACTATTTACGTGAAGTTTTTTTGGTCTACAACTTTTCCACTGGTGGTAGCGATGTTGGGAGTCAGGCCTCAGGCAATGTAAACTTCAGTCCCCACTGAGAGCACATCTGCATGGGATGGTGCTTAAAAGGCTTTTGGCTCAGGAAGAACCATCTGCGTCCCTGTCCCTCCCCTGGCAGCTGCTTCTGTAGGCAGAGGGGCAGGCTGGAGGGGAAATGAGTCTCAGGGCTGGAGGTGTCAGTCCTGGGGAGCAGGTGAATCCTGTGGTCATGTTGGCTCTGCCTGATAAACAGGCATGCTTTGAGGTGTTTATATTCCTTGAATGGTGTTTTCAGTGCTGATGTAATCATTCTCTTGAACAGCAGTCACAAGACACTGTGCTGTACAAACCCTTCTGCATGGGACTGACAACTAGGTATGAAGGCAGATGATTGTACAAATTTTATTCTTAATACCTTTGAATCAGACCAGGCAATTAAAAACATGAGAGTCCTTTCTGTGAATGTTTTTCATTAAATTATTTTTTTTTTCATACTGACTGGACACTATCTCTAAGTATACAAAATACTGAATAATGAGTTTAAACAGACACTTTTGTATCAGTTTATCTGATTCACTGTATTAAATAACATCGCTGACCTAGCTGTTCTTCTAGTTTAGCTACAGAAATAGATTGACTTGAAGGTTGTTGAAAATACTTAACGAGTTACCCCTGCCCTAGCTCACATCCAAAACCTTTTTCGAAATCCCTAAGGAAGCTGGAAGGGAGCTCCAGGTCCAGCCAACAGAGTCAAATGGCATGGGCACTCTAGTTCCTGGGTAGCTGTACCACCTCTTCATCCTCTATGACTACAGAGCACCTCTCCAGCTGATGTTGCAGGTGTGCCTCCTTCCATCTGCTCAGACTAAGCAGAAGGTAGATGAAAAATGGCTGAGAAGCCAATGAATGCAGATGCTTCGCTTGGCCTGACCAACTGCTGCTTCTGCACTTGCTCTGAAACTCCCTAAACTTTACCTGTTTCTGGCTGAGACTGGGACACATCAGATAGAAAATGAAGAATGTGGGAGACACAGAGAAGAAGAATGGAGGTCATGAACAGAAATACAGTGTGGGAGGGGTAAAAAGGCAGAGGGAAATAGGAAGAAAAAGTGTGAATAGAGTACAATATTCAACAAGAAGGAAATTTATATGGATGGAAAACAGACATTGGAAAAGACCCAAGAAGAAGAGAAGGAGGTGAGGACTTGGCAAGGGAGATAAGCAACATCAGCAAAAGTGGTAGTTTGTTTTTTTTTTAATCTTCTAGAAAACTGCTGCTAAAATAAGACAATGCTTAACTATAGTTACTGTTATTAAAGCATATATGTGGATGATGTGAAGGAAAAGAGGAGATTACCCAAGAATGTAGCTCTGAAGGGATGCCAGGCACTGGGAAATCTCACAGGAGGATGATCCAGCAGTTTCCCTGAAGGGCAACCTGAGTGGAAGGTGAGGAGCAGAGGCAAAGCCTTACTCACTTGTGGAGGAGGAAGGGCTGAGTAGGTCATCAAAAGAGAATGTTGCCTTTTCCAGTCTTATGGCAGGTTGGAGTGAGGATGTCATGGTCAGAGAGAATGGGCCATTCTCATGTCATATTCTGCGTCAGAGAAACCTGATTTCTTTTGTAGCTTGCTTGCCAGTATTGGTGATAATTCTACACTGCTTTTGCATGGATTTCAGCTGAATCAGCACTTGTAGTCAATATGATGCAGCACTGCAGCAGCAGAATACTGGTGTTACTCCTAGCTGGTATACTGGTCAACCTTGAGCATGTGAAATTCCCTGTCTGTTCCTCAGTTTCCCCATCCATAAATTAGGTAGTGGTACTTAAGTGTTTCTGAATAGTGGAAAACATCACGGGCTCTGTGTATCTTGCTTAAATTTTAAAGGTAATGGTATATTTTGTTATAGATTATACTGCCCTAGTATTTTGAAGGTATTAGCTTGCCAGGAAGCTTATTTTTTACCTATTTAAAATATACCCTGCTATGCACAAACACCTATCAAAACTTGCTTTCCATGCACCCTGAGAATTCTACATACTATCACAGATGTAAAATGTGCCACCTACTTGCTCCTTACATTTGTAAGCATTAATGAAACCCATCCCCTCAATTCATCCTTTACAAGTAATAGGCAACCTTCCAGTTATATTCACCTACAAAAGTAGGAATGTAGTTCAACCCATTAGGTTCTACATTTAGTAAGATTTTCCCTAGCAGTGCTAGATAACCCCAGAAGAACAATCAGGCTTCTTTTACATTGTAGGGGAAAAAATGATAAATGTCTATTGACCAAATGAAGATCAGTCCTGAAAGGGGGAGATGGGACAAGGCAAGTCAGACAATGAAATTTGATAATATGTTTGTAATTTAAAAAGTTATGAGTGACTTCCATATATTAAAAAAAAACCCCTACCAAAGTAATTATTTATATTTGGCATGACTTTCAAAGTTGTCATTGCACTCAAAGGTTCTCATTGAAGTCACTGTAAACTCTGGATATGCAGCACCTTTGAAAACTTTGCCAAAATTGCCTTTAGACTGTAAGCTCCTTAGGGCAGAGACCTGTTACTCATTTGGCAAATTGTATTGGAACGCTCCTTTGCCTAAACAGGGCTGTTTGTGTAATAATAATAATAGATAGCAGATTTGTGCTGGAATTCAGAAATATCTGATGTGGTTCAATACCCTTGTTATTAACACAGTATTTCAAAACATTAAATAAAAGCTCATTTTATAGGCAAATCACCAAGGAAGTATGACCAAAGGAAGCTGGCTGAAAACAATTTAGAACCAGAGAGGTGTTTGCTTGATCAAACCTGGAACTTCCCTGCCACTGTGCATTTCAGCTTCCTATTATTTCGCTCACAGACTGTCAGCTGAGAGGCTTGGTGAACCAGGTAGGCCATGAAATATGCATCTGCCTGTGGTTATTTTAGAGAGTAGAATTGGATACATGTAAGTACATACATCAGCGCACACACCCTCAGCCCTGGGGGTGTTCCTACACTCCTCAAATTCATGTGCAATCCCTCTGCCTGTGCCAGAGACAACTATGAATGCATGTTGATTCACTTTGCCTGGGAAGTGCCAGAGCTTTAGGTTTCAAATTCAAAGGGTATCAGCACAGCAGCTATTATTGTCTGCTCTTGCTTCAGAAATCTTGCTTAGTGCAGCAACTCAGCCTACTCCAGCTATAATTCAGTACAGTTTTTTGCAGTTTAATTTATAAAGTAAGCTAATTACGCACCTTCTCAACACAGAAATGAAAAGCCAGCAGTGACAGAAACAGCACTCTCACCCCGAGAGTGTCAGGGAAGCTGCAAACAGTTTACATCTTCTCAAAATGTTCTGCTTATCTCTCTAAGCTCTGCTTTCCTCCAGCTGTCCCTCATCTGCAGAGTGAGGATAATGTTGCCCGCTTTTCTGAAGAGCTTGGAGGAGGGTGAGGAAGAGCACTGCTCGAGGAAAGTGCAGTGTGTTCTCAGAGGAACATTTGCTGCACAGCAAAGTTAGCACCACCGTGGCTCCAGGTGCTGGCTGTGTCAGCAGACAGCAATGCAAAACCCTTTTCACAGTCCTGTTTATCCAGAAGACAAATACAAGGAAAAGGAAAGAAAACTGACCAGTCCTAATAAATACCAGCCCTTTCAGGAATGAATTTGAAAGCCAGTTTTCTAGGTATGAGATGATAGGAATCATAAAGTTACAGCATGTGCTTTAATGAACCTGGTCAAAAGTGCTGTCTGGAGTGTTTATTCATTCATTAATTTTTACTTGAGTAGACAAAGTAAATCTGCCCTTGGTTTTCATAAAATCTTTCTTGCTACATTCTGTTTAGTTTAAATTGGCATCTACTTGATTCAACCTGGAAAGCCCAGCCAAACCCAATTAGTATCATTGAAACTCCTGGAGCTGACTTTTTCTTTCTCTCTCCCAGCTTCCCCTCCCAAGTTTAAGAGCCTAGAGGAAGAATTCCAGAGTCTGAATTTGAAATTTTTCCCACTTTTCACTTGCACGAGGGATGAAGTGGAAAGTTGTAAATAACAATAATGTAATGGAAGTAAAAAACCTGGCTATGCAGCCTGTTTTTTTCATGGCTGATTGGCGTAGCTCTTGCTACAACACTTTGGGTTTTTTTCCTTATTTTTGTTGTTCAAACTTCTAAGCAGCCCAGCTCTAACCCTGGCGGGCTCAGCTGCAGGTGGCAAAGCCATGTCGCTGCTTCTTGTACTTCCAGACAGCAGCGTGGCTGCTTGCAAGCAGAGAACCTGAGGCCGTATCTGGTTTCTTCCGTGCCTCCCGCCCCTCCGCCGCTGGAAAGGCCAGCGCAGAGCCTGGCGAAGGGTGACAGAGCGTGGTCTGGCAGCCACAGGGAAGCTCTTTTCTTTGGAAGCGTGCAGTCCTGGTCTCTCCAGCATCTTCCCCAGGCCTCCCCGGGCAGCTGGCTGTCCCCTGGGACATGCCCTGGTGAGGAAGGCGGCGTTGCGGGACTCCAGCCGCCTGGCCGCCGCCTGGCCCAGCTGGCTCCCCTCCCTTCCTGAAGGGTGTAGCTGGACACTCTCGCCCGGCCGCGGGCGGTAGAGAAACAAGTCAATTTCGCTCACAAAAGCCTCAGTAGCTCATTACAGAAAAGGAGTCTTCAAAAAATATTGCTAAAATATGAATGTTTTGCAGGGGTTGCCACAGAAACATGCAGAGCATATAATCCAAAATAGGATGTCTAGACAAACTCCTACTGTCTGACCTTTTATGTATTTCTTAATCCAGCCAATCTTGCCAAGCAAATTGGTGACTAAGCAGCAATTCACTTTACACGGTGTCGTAAAGGCCTGACAAGGCCCAGGTCACAGTTATAAATTTCAGTCTGGCTACTTCAGCAACTCTCAGCTTCCTTTACCAGCACAGCTCCCGTGTGGTTTCTGGGCTGTGATGTGTGCTCTGGATCATCGTGAAGTAATTTTGGGGCTGTAAAATCCAAAAGCCACAGCTCTGCTGCGAAACAGAGCACTTTCATCCGGCAGGGCCCAAGAGTTTATATAAAGCCATAAAAAAGGGAGGCTGGAGAGAGTCTCGGGTGAAAGCAAAATGAAAGGCAGCAGTGCTGGGGCTGCAGCAGCCACCTCCTTCTGGGAGCTGGGGGCTGGCATCCCTCCCTCCCTGCACACGGGGGCTTGGGGCACCAGCATCTGCTAGTCACAGCAAGTCATGGAGGTCTTGCTGCTCCAGGTTCCTCTTCCCTCCTCACTTGCAGGAGCCCCTTTGTTTTCCTTCATTTTCCAGAATTGGCCCTTCATGCAAAAGTCATCCTCTCCAGTTCTCCTGTGGCAGCAGGAAATTCACCAGGTTCAGTGACGTGCTGTTTATCTGTTTATTTGTAATGAATCTGAAAAATTATTTTGGAAACAGGGAAGGAGGATGGGGGGCATTGACTCAGTAACCCTTAAAAAGCTTGATGTATCTATGTGCATGCATCTATGTATATCTATCCATATACACATTGTACATACATGCATTTTTGTACATACAGATGTAGAGATACTCAAGCTTACAAAGGTGAATTTCTCTTTACAGCAAAAAGAAACTGAAGTAGTAACGATTTTTTAATACTCTGTTTCACATTGCACATCCCTTTTTCCCCCTCATAGAGTGACATCTGGGGCTGTGCTTTGGCTGAAGGTAGAGGGGGGCTGTCCCGGGCAGGGGTCTGAGGCAGAAAAACAGTATTGCTCCTTCCGAGTTAAGCTGGTCACAGCTTAAGGAAATCTTGTACATACTGTAGGGACAGGGCTGCCTGACACCTGTGTTTCTGCACAGAAAGCAAGTGAGGGAGAGAAAAGAAAGCTGTTGTCAGGAGGGAATGGGAGGGAAGACCCAGAATAGGTAAGGGAAAAAAAGTTAAATAAATTACAGTTTGATCAGCACATTAAAAGAAATGTGTGCTGTACAGTACTGTATAGTGGTAATTGTACACTGTGTATTAAGCAGTGGTAAGAATTAATGACTTAATATCTGGCCACTCCACATAGCTTGTTATAGAAAGGTGTTGGATTTTATATATATTTTCTGTGAAGTTTAATTTTCCATGTGGTGTTTGGTCAGGAAATGGAGAGCCCCTCAGGTGGAGTGCCAGGAGAAACCTTTCCAAGGAGGACGTGTGCTGCAGTGTGTGTGTGGGGGAAGATCCCAGGGGCAAACGTTTCAACTTCTGAGCCACTCACCTTGTTTTATGTACAAGATGTTAAGAAAATTTTTTTTTAAAAGAAAATTAATTAAAAAAAAAAAAAAAAAAAAAGAGGCAGGAGGGAGAAGAAAAAGATTTCTGTGATGCATAGACATCAATCCATCCAAGTATAAAGGAGATTTACAGCTTGTGATTAATTAGAGATTAATAGCAGGCACATGAGGAAAAGCACTGCACTGAATCCACATCCTATATCACTGTTAAGGAGCGTCTCCTTTCAACTGGAGGTTCAGAAATTTCTTCTTCAGAGGGCCATTACCATTGCCCCTGCAACACTGGGACAGGCAGATTCTCTTACTCTGCATTTGCACAGCGAGGCCCTAATGCAGAGGCCATTAGGTCCTTCCACAAACAAATGGCACCACTGTAGTTAAAATCTAAAAAAAACCACCACATTGTGAAAAATTAGTCTCCTGATGGGACGAGTTAGGCACCACATACTTTGTCTGTAGACCAGGCAGTTCTTCTTTGAATATAAACATACAGGAACAAAACAGCACTCATACAGCCTGGGCTGCATGGCACATGTTAAAAACAGAGGGGATGATCATGGAGGGGATGAACAAGGAGGTCACAGAGGTCTAGAAGGAATAGGTAAATTAGTGTTTAAAATAATTTTAGTGGTGCGAAAATACGTAAGATAATGAAAGAGGAGTGGAGAAACATTTGAAGACCTATGTGAACACAAATCTAGATGTCTCTAACCCTAATCCTAACACTCATGATCATAATCATGATCTCTACCACCAACACTAATGATCAACATAACCCTAACCTGAGTGACTATAACACTAAACCTAACTCTAATCCTAATCCTAACTGTAATAACTATAACCCTAACACTAAACCTAACCCAAACCCTAACCCTCAAAACCCTAACCATAACTTTAATGGCTATAATCCTAATGCCAACCTTCCCTTTGCTGACTGTAACTGTAAGCCTAATCAGGACTGTTAAACTAACCCCTGATGTTAACCCTAACCCAAACTCTAATGACTCTAACTGTAAGTGTAGCCCTAACTCTAAGCCACTAACACTAAGCCCTAACCCTAATTACCCTAACCCTAATTAGCCTACTCCTAACTCTAAACCTAGGTGAAAACAAACCTACAAGTGTCTAACCCTAAGTTTAGCTCCTAACTCTTAACACCAACAAGTGTAAGACTGGATCAAACTTATCACATTAGAAATCATGCTTTTCACCTTTTTCTCATAGCAATCTCCTGTGGCCATTTTGCTGCCCAGGTAGTGTTATAGTTCCTCCTTCTTCCTTGAATGCAAGAGATGGGCATGTGATGTGCTTCTCTGCTTCAGAGGCACTCTAGCTTTGGGGCAACAGAGAATGGTGCCCTTCAACCTACAAATACCCAGGTTAGTCCCCACTGTTGGTGAAGCTGGCAGTCCCTGCGATGCACTCACTGAAGTAATTTTAGCTATTGGTTGCAAAGTGCTGCCTGCTGGAGACACAGTGCCACTGGCCTTCCTCTGGAGGTTCTGCCTCATCCCTCCTTCCAGCTCCCTGCTCTCCTTGGAAGCAGGGCCCTATTTTTTTATTATTTTTTTTAAGACTTCTGTTCCCTGCAAATGTGAGCAGAATTATATTCTGACGCATAGTTAGATCTCACTGAGAATATGGCAGTCTGATCAAGGTCTTGCGCCTTGTGTATATGTCCTTGTGTATATGTTCTGTAAATTTCTGTCATGTAACTGTTAGTTGCACCACTATTCCTCCCTTGAAAAATGGATTATTTAGTCTGATATTTGCTTTAAAGTCTGAGCAGGGGTGTTGTGTGCTATTGTACTACTGGTTCTGGCAGGCTTTCAGCCAAGCACAGCACTCATCACTGTTTTCTCCATTCCTTATTAATGGCCACAAGATGGTCCAGTCAAGAGATAGCACTCCTCTGGAAAATATTTATAAGGGAAGGGCAAAGCAACATGCTGGACATTTGTGAACTACAAAATCAGAAGGCTCATAGTGTTCAAGGATCTATGCCTTCTACTCTATTTTGTCAGATTCATTTTCGTATAACTAAACAGAAAATGCAATTGTGCAAAATACTATGGCATGCCTTGTTAGAGAAAGCATAAAATGTACCCTGACTAAGGAATGTACCCTCATCTTTTCAATGTAACAGTGAAACAGGTAGCCAGCAGGAACTACTCACATCAGCCTTTCTCCTCTTTTTACATCTTAGAGAAACAAACCTAACACGTACTGCAAAATTGCAGATTTTACACATGGACTATATAACTCTGTTTTCTGTCACTGGTAGCCTCATCATTTCTCTTCCATTGCCCCTACTCATTTATCACACTGACTTCTTGCGTCATGTAATAATTTTTATTTTCAGCTCCAGCAGACCTATGTATATATTCATAGGATATAATGAGAATGCCAGATAACAAGTATTAGTGAACAGCAGAAGACAGCATGAACACCAAGCAGATGCAAACAGAAACATCCTG